CAAACACGAAGACCTCGTTCCAATTTGGAAAAACAACAATCAAATGACAAGATATTGGCTGGTTTATTCTCCTTACAGCCATTTCAGAGTAGATGGCACAACCCTCCTACATGTTCTGTTTTGGATGGGGGACCATATAAACCACCAAACCTGGGGATTGTGCCATCTACCCTGCCCGCCATCTTAAAAACATGTGGGGGTTGTGCCATCTACTCTGAAACCACTGTCCCCCCCTCGATTGACAAATGCTCTCACGCCCTACCCCTGCCAAGTGCCTCCAGTGCTTGTGAAGTTGGAGTCGATCCACCAGCCATAGTGCTGACAACAAATACGCGCGCTACATGCAACTTGGTGCGCTTTTTGCGATCAGTTTGTCATTCTGCTTTTGGTGGTTGAATTTAAGAGATTTGATGAAACTGTGGCAACAGGGTCAGGTACCTGGCTTGCACTCACAAAGAGGTATCCTCCGTGTATATGTGGTATTATCAGATGTTAAAAGGCGTGATCTTTTTTTGGGGAGGATGCGAGGATGCGTCCAGGAATGCACTTGTGCCGGGTGTGCAGCTGCTTAAAGTGTCAAGTCAAAAGAGGTATCCCCACCGCTAGAGGAACATCAAGTCAAAAGACCGTTGCCCACTTGCTTCGTTACCCCCAGGACTTCCAATGACTCATTTTACTCCACCTGGTAGTCATAATCCACCACTACTATAGGAGTAACATGAGTCATTTGGACTATTAGGGTACACTAACCGTTACAGTACTACACCAAGGGCAGTTGCGATCTGAAACCCGCCAAAGAGACGAGAGCGGTCTCAGCGATCCCAGAGCGGTCTCAGCGGTCACTCGGCCCTCCAAGAGGGGAGCTTCCTCTGGGTCGGTCCTTGTTGCAATCCTTAGCTATACCCTGGGAGTCAAAGACTATAAAAAAATGGTCTTTAGGGGACCTGAAAGGGAACTTCCTTTACTCCAGCCAGTCAAAATATAGTCTTTGGACTTCTAGGGTATACGTAGGGTACTATCTTGGGTATATCCCAGGGCATCCCAGGGCCCCTGTGGATGATGACGGTCCTAGTGTGATCGTCCGTACTACCGACTGTGAGTGGCAATGGGATATTAATGGATATTATATGATATCACTATACTCACTAAACGTCCTTGCTTGCAACCACTCGGATTCCTTCTCGGCTACTGCAGGTCTCCTGACAGAAGATTTCCATCCCCAGTCAGTCTTTGGGTCTGCTTTGAAACACGCCCCCGGCCCCTTTTGCGAACTTCATGAACAACACAAAGAGCTTCGCACCAGTCGACCAGTCCCAACGAATTCACTCCACAAATCACATCAGCCAAACCAGTCCACTGCTGTCCCAACTCGCGAAGGCGAGGCAAAGACAAAGGGGAGTCTTTGCCAAAGTCCAGCCGGGGAAAAACATCCAAGAAAGATCTCAAACACATCTTCGCCAGTTTTCCGGGTCTCACTATTTTCACTCAAAAAGGCCGGGACGTTTCAAAGATCACCCGATCAAAACCAGGAACGTGAGACTCCGTAAGAGAGCCCAGCCTTGCCTCATATGCACCTCAGCTGCTCGTGTGAAAAGCGATGGCGGTTCGACTGTCTGACTGGGTGGTGGGTTTCCTGCGAGTGGCGCCCGGTTTCCGACCACGAGTGGTTCACCTTGGGGGAGGTTCAAGTCACCTTGGCAAATTAAAATCAGCCGTTCTGCCTTTGAACCGCCAGGCTTGCTCCAAGAGGGGGTCAGAACCGCCAGCAAGGCAAAGCCTTTGAACTGCCTTGCGCCCCCC